GAACGTTAGGCCAAATTTATGGATGGCGAAGCAGCGGGTGTTCTGAGGAGAATAGAATATGAATAAAAGAATCAAGAAATACAACAGAGGAAAGTTGAATGATTTGCGATGATATTTGCTCATGTATTTCATACATCGTCCTGTGAGGTTAATAGGGCTCAACCAGCAGAGTATAGTCAGTTATGTTGTCTGACGGTTAGAAATGGTAGTTCAGATTATTGGGTGATGGTGATTATCATAGCCATCTCAGAGGGAGATTATCAGGAGAGGGAATATGCAGAGGAATTAATACCAATCCCACCACACACTTTTAAAGTAGTGCCATAGAGCTGTCTTAAGTAGCAAAAAAGTACTGAGTGACACAGGTGGAGCGAAGAAGTGCAACCGTAGGCAGTTCGGCAATCGCAGGTCCAGGAAGGGATTGGTGTCTATATGACACGGCTGCCGAAGCTCGTCTCATTAACGATAGGCAAACGGTGGCCTACTCATCGCATTGGAATCAACGTTGAGATCTCACAGCGCTTCATCAAGCAAAAGCAAGAAAAAAAACAGCAATTAACACGTCTATGCCAACTAAGTGTCTAAAGGGCTTCCGGCAGAGGTGTCAAGAAGCGTGAAGCGTCCAAGAAGCTGTGGTTTACGCTTCTGTTGCACGTTTTTACGTCAGTAACGTTTCGAAAGTTTTTTTCCAACATCGTGGGTGGCGACGAGCTGTCAGGAACGCAAACATGCACATCGCCTCGTGAGGGATGTTGCCGATCACTGCCTCAATCTTGACACGTGACTATGGTTGCGGCTATCGACCGTTCGTTCGTGATTGGGCAACGACTGCCGATGGCACGGTGAACCGCAGAATTAAGAAGGATGTTGCCCGAAAGTCCAGGTTCAAGTATCAGTGGCCATGACGAGATAAAACTGACTACAGGACCAAATGGCCTAATTAGAAATCCATCTTCTTTTAAGGATGTCGCCTTATACACGGTAGAACAGTATCTTTCCGTCACAATCTTCAATGCTGTATGCTTAACTGCTTCTACAAGCAAACTTTGATTCAGGTGTACCAGTGAGTTTTCTGTAACTAATTAAAAACTGTCGAATGAGTCAAAAAGCCAGACTGTGGCAAAAATAAAGATCGAGCTCCCTCGCAAGATGAAAGAAGGATGCAACGAAGGTCGAAGACACCGGAATTGCAGTAGTACTCTATGTGATCATGTGGTACTCACTTTCCAGAGTGCACGGTCATAGTAACGTGATGAATCACTCTCGACAGGTACCTTTCGTGGTGGTCAGCGTAGCTAACTCTCTGAACCTTTGTCTACTCTAGTGGCGAGATTTCATTTAAGCAACTGCCTTCGCTACTTCAAAGGAAACGACAGTAGGCTTTGAAAGATACTACAGCACAGACAGACGTAAACGTCGCCTTCAGCCCTCCGCACCCACAATCACCTCCTCTGAAACACTGTCATGCGGTGACACTGTCAAACGT